CCATCACCCCACCATCACCCCAGCTTCCACCCCGCCATCACCACAGCTTCTACCCCACCATCACCCAAGCTTCCACCCCACCATCACCCCAGCTTCCACCCCAGCCTCCACCTGTAGGCTCGGGGGGTTACTTATTTAATCATCACTCATTGTGCTATGTATATCTGTGGAGTGATGAGGCCCGAGCCTAGACGCCAAACTGCTTCTAATGAACATGTTAAAGAAACACGTGAGTTGTCTGACTGAAATAAAATTGCTGCATAGTTTACTCCTGTAAAGAACGCATGGATGGAATATCTATTGAGTCCACTACAGGTTAAGGTGGTAGAAAATTCATTGTAAATGCAACTAATGCTAGTCGTTTTCACAGTCAAAGGGTTATTTGGTTGGGCTTCAAAATGAACAAGAGCTTGAAAAAGAGATGATATGTGCGTTAGCTGTTCGGATCGATGAACAGGTGAAGAGGTAAAGACAACTTACTGTTCCTCTCAGTGCGTTTGGAAAAGAGAAAGACCAACAACCTCCTGATGAACCACACTCTGAGGACGAGGACAAATGGAAAATACAGCTGTTATCAACTCAAATTTGAAGACACATCGATGGCGCTGTGCCACATTAAAACTGTTCCCATGGTTTTGAAGGATATAGTCGGACAACATGATGACTCACAGCACGGGGTAAATGAAGAAAGGCACGGCCATGAATATTCTCTGGAACCATTGTTCCGGCAGGTAGAGGCAGTAAACCACCAGAGAGATCAGCAGGTAGAGGACCGACGAGTAGAGAATTAACTGGCCGACCCTCAGCTGCACAGATACACAGATATTCATCGATCAGAGATTAGGAACCACAGTTGAAGGATATCAATGCACGTGTTTGCTGTGTTGTCGACTCTACCTTTTGCAGACGTTGGTTTTTGGCTCTGAACTCCTCCAGCTCTTTAATCTCCTACAAAGGGAAGAGTCCGGTTATTTCAACAGTGCAACAAATAATCAGATGGTAAGAATTCCCCGAATGTGAGTTCAGGAAATCCTTCTTCATTGTTCTCTGATTTAATTTGGTATATGTAGGCCTGTCACGATAATTAATTGTGTTGGACGATAATTTTTTCTGGAAATTATTGCGATAAACGATAATATTGTCGGCAACGTTTTAAGACCATTTTAGACATAATGATAACATATCATAATAATTCAAGTACATCCTTTCAAACATAACTTTTTATTGAACATTCAACATTGCAAATGAAATGTGAAATACTATTAAAATATATAAATTATATATAATAAATAAAACAGATTAATTAAATTATAATAAATTAATTAAATCACACACAACCAAAACAATAAATTAAATATAAATATAAATAAATAAATAAATAAATAAATAAATAAATAAATAAATAAATAACTATGAGCACACATTATCTCACAAGCAAAAAAACCCTCCTTAAAACAACAGTCAAGTG